TATATTGCGTATTTTGATGCAATATTTGTAAATTTTGCTCATGGTAATCTCAAATATTTTTAGAGTTATGAAGGTGGTTTTTATTCTCTGGTCTCCTACATAGTGAAAGGATACTTCTTAAGGTACTTGAATAAGAAAAATTGTTTACGAGTGATCTTGATGACCTATGAATGTCGTATCAGTGTCCTACCAAATAACTGTTTGTGGCCTATCACACACGATTTAGTTGAGTTAGCTTCGTTATTTTAAAGCATAGCCGTCGACGATCAAATCCTAAACGAAAGGTGATGTTTACTATTTTTAAGGTTAATCTCCTCTACCACCATTTTACAGATGCATATTGTCTATGGGAAATATGTTACTGACTTATAGTTTTATATTTTCAGCTTAAGGCTCTATCGTTACCCTACCAACTAGATTAACGTGTTATGACCTAAAGAATTGAATGTCCTGGTCAATATAGTCCGATGACTACATCATGATAGCAGACGTAATCGGGTTTATTAAAAACTGTAATGCATTAAAAAGTTATACAGTGGAAAAAATTATTCTCTCAATGATCATATTTGTGCATAACAAAGATTCACTAACTAATCATTTGATGGGCTATGGAGTATTGACACTTGTTTAGAAAAGTTGTTATCTCATCAGTTGTACACTAATTGTTTGAAATACTGACTAAAATGGTATTACCAGTTATTAGACACTATCCTTTTTTCCAATATATAAACTAATAAGTATTAGTTACAAGTTTGTTGTCTGTATCAATTCAGTACACACATGGTGCGCATAGGCCAATGAAGATGTAAAAAATTCAGTCTGGACTTCGAAAACAGAATCATTCAAATTCTTATTAACACCTTACTTTTCGAATATTTTTGTTGTTTCATTGATTGAGTTAAACTCAGTAGATAATGTGTTTGAGTTAAATGCAAAGGTATTAGATTCGAGTCCTGAATTTACTGATTCCACTACTACTTATAGCATATCTATTCTATTGAGAAATCGTTACCTAACGCCCTTTAAATATTATTTAACACATACGATAATGTATGAATTTTTGTATTCTACAGATTTAAAGTTGAAATGTATCAAAGAATGAGTGTTAATAGGTTAGTATTTTGGAATTAAACTCAATGCTCGATTCCTGGCACTGATCCGAATTGTTTAATGTAATAACATCATATTATGGTGATATTAAGTTAAAGAAATCAGCATAATGATATACTATCTATCTGTGTAGTATATCATCATCTTTGAGATATCTGTCCCTATCATCAGTGCTTGGAGTCACTAAATTCTAGTCTTAGCCATGTTGGTAGATGCAGACCACTTGGTCGGGGTCCATGTGACTATCGTGACATGACATCTTTATACCACTAAGTTGGAGTCCGTTGGCATATATGTCGTTTACTTGCAGTCAATTCATGGTATCTTCTAACTTGACTAACTTCGTGATCCCAGTAGAAATCAACATTCTTCAAAACCCCATTACTGACGATTGTTATGTGGTCACTAGTGACTAGTTCTGGTTAGAAGTTGCAAGCAATGCAGTTTAGTCGTGTAGGGTACTCACCAAAGGCAATAGAATATGGTCGCCCAATATCACACTCTTGAATCACTACTGTGTTCTAGAAGTTGAGAAATCACGAGCGAGACCGAGGGTCTTCGAATCGACTGCCTATGATGGGGTCATGGATACACACGTTTGATGAGTCCCGTACTAAGACAAAACGATGCTAATGCTTTGTAGTTCCCAATAACTTTCTAACTTATAGTGATTCATTATTTTAATAAAAATAATGGGTTTGAAACCTTCGTCAATGTGATGAAAGCAGTTGTCCTGGTTTTTTGTTCATTATTATAATATTATTATTATTTGATTCGTGCTATAAGACTATCTTTGATGTTCTTGTTTGAATTACATTTCAATGATTAACCTTCATTTAGTTGATATAACTTACCATTTTCCATTATTTCACTAATTGATGTTGTTCTTGTATGCATTCCATTATCTTTTTCAAGTATAAAAGATGATGATATTGTATTAGGTTTTCCTATATCTAAACATTCATCAATGTCATACAATGTAGTAGAAAATTTGATGATGAATCGTATACAGCATCATGAATTGGATGTTTATTATCAGCTATATTGAATGATTGCATTTCTATCATTATAAATAAAAAGAATAAATAGCCAATAAGGAGGATTTAGTTTTAATCAACAATACTATTTCATTTTAAGGTATACGTTCAGATAAAATCAATAATCCCATAATATGTACATTATCATTTATTGATATTTTGAATAGTTCATTTTGTCTTATCATCTTGTATTAGATTAAATTTCAACTATCAGATCTTAGGTTCGAATCCTTATTTTCTATTTATTTATGCTTTAATTTAAATAAATATGACTTATTCAATCTTAGAAGTATGCTAAATCAATGACGTTCAATCGGTATGAGTAGAGTAGTAACCTAGTATCTTTAATGATTCTTTGTTCGCCTAGACTGTTCAGTTGATTCTAGAACACTAATAACAGCTTCTCATTGTGCGAATCATTTGTTTCAAACATACCTAGTTTATATACCAGCCAAACAGAACACATCACACCATAGAATAGGAAATAACATTTATACAAGATCAAGCCAAAATATGACTGTGAACGTGGGAGACAGTAATCAATTCACTGAACATAACTTAAGAACAGTATAGTCGTATAATAACAATCTACGAATTAAAATAAAGCTTATAATAAGAGGAAATATAGATATACATAATTAATTACTGAAGAGTTATATAGTAGGAAATAGATATATATAATATTAGCCCATTGATAGTTTTCGGAAGTTACTCGTAATTTAATCTTCACTAGGATATAACAGATTCATTTCTTGATTTCGCTATACTCATGTGAGTTTGTGAATTCAAGTGTTCCTGTAGAGAAAGCTATATTGAATGTACAATCAGACAACTTAATTGATAATTTAATGAATATCTCTCATCGTTGTTAGAATAGATTATGTTATGACTTTAAGTTGGGTCGATTTTTACCCTGTGCTAATTGTTGTGTCATTGACTGCAAAAAGTAGAGAGCAGTGTATTTATCGATCGATTCAATGACATGTAAACACGTACGGACGGCCTAGAATCTCGATTGGTCTCGCTTCCCTGTCTAGCCCAGTCAGTTGAGTCCAGAACACAAGTCACAGCCTCGGATATATGAATCATTATATTTCAAACATACTTTGTTTATATACCAATCAAGCATACCACATCGTACCATAAAATAGAAAACAACATTTTGTACAATATTCAACAAGTGAATAGATATCGACCAATAGGAAATGTCCATTTAATGTCCGAGGACACCATTGGACTTAACATGATAATTATTGGTCTATTCCACCGCATCCACAACAGATTATGACGAAAACAATACATAATTCTATTATATCATACATAAATATAAACACGTCATTTAAAGTAATTTATTTTATACTTACAACCTTTACTTATCATTAATATAACCTTTTACCTAAAGTTAATACACTTCAAGAATAGTTCTTATTTAAAAGATAAACAAATTACGCACCGAATTGTTGCTCCATTGATCTCTCTCTCTCTCTCTCTCTCTCTCTCTCTCTCTATATATATATATATATATATATATATATATATATATATATATATATATATATATATATATATATATATATAATATTGATGTACTTTTGAAAGCTACTACTAAAATGGATTATTTCATTCAAATAGTTTACTTCATTAGTACAGATAATTTTTATCTAAAAAATTTTTTACACTAATTAATTGATTTACAATAGAATTCAATGTACTTTTATTAAGAATATTTGATGCGTTTTTTTTGAACAAAAAGAAATATTAGTATCCATGGGTTTTACTTAGATGTTAGAACTTTTGTATCTAGATTTCAATGTGTTAGGTCCCGATCAACATCATAAATGGTAACTTTGGGGTTCTATTTATGGACCAATACTGTGTGTATATTTTTATCGTATCATTGTTAAATAACTAAACTATCCACATTCATCTTCCTCTTATTATAAACTTTATTTGACCTATAAACCATTATTATACGTTTTACTATTCTCGAATAGTGCCCTGTCTATTAGTCACTGCCTCCCACATTCACAGCCACATTTGGCCAAATCTTGTAGAAATGTTGTTTCATATTTTATTGGCACGTTTTGGTCTGTTTGATTGGTATATAAACTCAGTATGTTTGAAATATAAAAATTCATATTACTGAGGCTGAGACTGGTGTTCTGGACTTAACTGGCTGGGCTAGACAGGGAAGCGAGACCAATCGAGGACTCTAGGCTGCTCGCACGTGTTTTACGCATCCTTAGTCCGATCGATAATCCACTGCTTCTGGTTAGCGGCTTTGGGCTATAATATAATGTCAGTTGACCTTCGATAAACAAAACATGCTTACAATGTGATATAGATTCGAGATGAGGTTGTATAGTGGCTGTATGAAGGACTACACTACTTGGTTAGGGTTCGCGTAACTATCATAACCAATGGTTAGAGACTCTGGGTGATATGGCTCAAAATTGATCACAGTGGCGTAGGTGTTTACACTCTCTATCTTCCTTTAAACTACGAGATTAATATTGAACTAATTTTTTCTATCTATATTATATCCTTATATGCAATCTTTCTTTTGTATATTTCTACTGTTGCAGTAACTACTATGAATTTGTTGTTTATCTTGTTGTGCGAATGAGGTATGGCAAGTTGGACTGATGCATATATGTGATTGGTCTTATATTGTAGCTGACTGACTGACTGTATCAGGGACTTTATCATTGAGAACTGTTCACTTCATGATTGGTTTTTTTGTGCAAACAAAATCATCTCACACGAATGATCACAATGATCAATAGTCAATGTTATGTCAATCATGCTGACCAGGTATCAATTAACACAATGTTTAGGTAAAAAAAGACTTTCCTAGTGATTATACTTAGCTATTCCATTATCAGATGAACTGCACCGCTACGTTGCATCTTTCAATATAGTCTGCATTCAATACAAACCTTGTTTCTAGAATTCGATCGTCATAAATGATCAAACCTCATAGCTGTTGATTAAGGTCTAGAGATCGAATACTGTAAGGTAACCTTTTCCTCGGTGAATTGGAATTTATATTGTATGCCATCTAAGTAGTACATACATATATGTCGGTTTACCTTTTGTTTGTTGTTTTCTATTAAATTCTCGTGTTTGTTTTAATTTTTCTTTTCTTTGCCCATTACTTTGTTCTCTATGTGTCCATAATGGTTTACGATAACCATTTTTATCATAACTACCAGGTTGTATTTGACTAGCCAATGTGAAGAAGAAATGTGTTGAATTACTCATCGATTGTATCATTTCAAGTTGATGATTACTTTTAAGTAAATAATAATTTGAATAATTGTTATAATTAGAACTACTGATGAAATTGTTAGTAGTTTCGGGATCTAATTGTTGTGGATGATCAATATGATTTGTTGATTGACTTGTTTCTTGTGTATTATTGAAATAACTAGTATTCTTATCAGCAGTATTGTCAATGATAGTAGTATCTTTTACCCATTGATTCACTTTTTGAAGGTATTTTCTACGATATAAACTGATTGGCATAGTGAGTATTTGAGCTTTTTGATCAGTGTTAAACGTAAGATCACGTGATAATGAATTGCTTGTACTTCTATCCGATTCATCGGTATGTTGACGTAGTTGGATGAATGGTGGTTCTGAGAGGTGACGCAATATTTTCAACTCAAACATATCGATTGAAGAATAGAATATATATTATCTAATGGAGAAACAATGAGCAAAATGATGTGGATAATTTTGAGGTGGTAATGTAAGAGTATATGTATCTTAAAACTGAACAACTGAGGCGCAATATTTAGCTAAAACTTTCAGTTGGATTGTAAGTAGTTAAGAATGAAGTATGTGCCAAAATGTTTAGTTGGCGGATACTACTTAGAATTATCTACTATGTATTGTTTTATGTCTTTAATCTCAGTATTACTCACTTTTTAGTTATCTTTTAGATATTAAGGAATGATGGTGAATCAGTTGATGAGGTTGTGAATCTTCATCGACTGAGATGGTTGGGCCACGTGTTGCATATGTCTGAACACCGATTACCACCACGTGCAATGCTCACTAGTGTTGGACACGGTTGGAAGAAAATTAGGGGTGACCAAACCAAAACGTGGCATCAGTGCTTGAAGTCACTAAATTCTAGTCTTGGCCATGTTGGTAGATGTAGACTACTTGTTTGGGGTCTGCGTAACTATCGTAACCAATGGCTGGAGACTCTTGGTGACATGGCTCAGAATCGATCGATCACAATGGCGTTGGTGCATACACTCCCTGTTTTCCTTTAAACTAAGAGATTAAAATCACTTCATATCTTTCTTTCTACAAACTTATTCTTTCCGTACTATATATGCAATCTTTCTTTTATATATTACTACTACTGAAGTGACTATTTCTATTAATTTGATGTTCATCTTGCTGTGCTAATGAGGTATGGCAAGTTGAACCGGTGCATATATGTACCTGATCCTACATTGTAGCTGATTGACTGACTATCTTTCAGGTAACCAGATGCTTAAATCAGTTATCTTAAGGACTAATAATCTATGATTTAAGATTCTAACCTATAAATCCTTCATTTATGTTATTTTGAGTATATTTAGAATCATTTAAGTATTGTTTTCATTCAAGTATGATATCAGACAGAGAATTAATTGAAACTCTGAGATTAAAGTCTCAAACAATGGTGTAACAATCATTCGATACTTCTTCAATATGTTTCTAACTATAATGGATAGAAGAATTGAGTTTCAATAATCTATGCATTTTTTATTACAAGATTTATCTTATACGTATTAATTAGTAACAAGAACCATTTTATGGTAAGTTACTCACATAAGGACAGATCAATACAATACCTTCAATGTCCTACTTATAGACTATAAACCTTTTTCCATCAGCTTACAAAGAACCATTTTTATTAGGGAGTACTATAATTTTGGTTATTAGACAGCAGTGGAATCCAGTTATCAACTGAATATATATTGGGTATCATTACTTTACTTTATTGCATTGATACTCGAATCTAATGTTTATCTGTTCAAGCGTAAACTTATTATTATCTAAACTACTGAGTTATGTAAGCAACCGACTTATTAACAGGTATGGTTTTTGGTTTTGAATTGTAGCTACAATTCAGAAATATAACAAACAATGTAGATTTTGATGGAGTTTTGTTCACTGAGCTGGATGGTTTGATCGTGGAGCTTTCATCGTTCTTCTGAACGACATCATCAGCACATACTTCAAATTTATCTGAAGCTCCACGACCAAACTATCCAACTCAGAGAACAAAACTCCATCAAAATCATCCACCTGAGCTACAAATCTTCTCCACCATTTCAAAAACACTGTAGATATAAGTTATACGTCGAAACATTATCGACTTAAAGAGGTAATTTACTCTCAAAAAATTAATAATCATATTCACTTGTAATTAATTTATAACAATCGAAAATTTTATAAATCCTTATCAGAAAGGAGCTTTTTTGTGGTGATTGTAGTAATTTTAATAGTTGAATTTATGAGTCAATTGAAGCTAGCACCCCAATGGAAAACCTGAAACCACTAAACGGTTGTTTCATTTGTCTATTTATAAATTAGAAACAATTATAATTGAAAAATAATTCATTCTATTATAATCTCGTTTTGTTTAACTTAAAATCAAACTGATTCACACAGTTAATTAATTAGTTATATTAAGACACATTTCTGTGGAGGTTCCTACATCCTAATGAAACAGTCAGTCAGCTACAACGTAGGACCAGGCACATATATGTATCGGTCAGGTTGCTATACCTCATTAAAACAACGAGATGGACACCGGATTCATAAAGTAATTAATTCAGAGGTGGTAATATATAAAAGATTGCAATAAGGACATAGTACAGGAAGAAAGAATTAGTTAGTAGAAAGAAAGATATGAAGTGATTTTAATCTCTTAATTTAAGGGAAGACAGGGAGTGTATGCACCGGCGCCATTGTGATCGATCGATTCTGAGCCATGTCACCAAGAGTCTCCAACCATTAGTTAACATAGTTACGCAGACCCCAAACAAGTAGTCTACATCTACCAACATGGCCAAGACTAGAATTTAGTGACTTCAAGCACTGATGCCACGTTTTGGTTTGGTCACCCCTAATTTTCTTCCAACCGTGTCCAACACCTAGTGAGCATTGCGCGTGGTGGTAATCGGTGTTCAGACATATGCAACACGTGGCCCAACCATCTCAGTCGATGAAGATTCACAACCTCATCAACTGATTCACCATCATTCCCAAGTACACTGCGTCTAACCTCACTATTAATTACCCGGTGATCCCAGCAGACGCCAGCAATATTTCTAAGGTATCTGTGGTCAAATACTAGTAGCTTACGGGTGTCTTCTACTCTTAAACGCCATGTTTCGCTGCCGTAAATTTAAACAGAACGGACTGCCGCGCAGTATACTCGTCCTTTGATGTGTTGGTCTAACTTCAATTGATTCATGAACTGAACTATTAAAATGACAAATAATATTCACACAAAAAGAAAAAAACTCCCTTTTCTGACAATAAAAATAATCATTTTAGATGATTAAAAATCAATTTAACTTACTATAATTTGTTCACAATGATTTCTTGATAAATTCCCTCATACTATTACTAAGTGTTTTGGCTAATTGTTGAACCAACATACTGCAATCATTATCATTAGTTGATTAGAAAATGAAAATTTCGTTTCATCTCGATTGTGATTGGTTCATTAGATGACCTTGAGGCAGAAAGAATACTTGCTGCTGATTGGCCAGTATTTAATAAAATCAGTATTTTTAATCAATTTTCTTTATTTTCCTTTCAAAATTTTTTTTCTTCTTTTGTGTATTGAATTTCGTAAATTGTCTGTTTGTTTATTGTTTTTTTTCCAAAAAATGTTTCTATGACTGATGTGAACAGATAAATAAGAAACCCTGACAAACTATGCAAGTTATTTTTCGGAACTTTATTTCATTTAATGCAAAGCTTGTAAAACTCTGACATTTATTTTCGTCCTTAATCTATTCTATAGAACATAAGATTTCGTTCGATGTATGATTCATTGCTACACCCTTTTCTTTTACGAAGCCATTGTCATTTAAACATAATATTTGCACCCTATTTTCTACTCTAATTCCGAGCTTTAGACATAATTGTATTTTCCTAACTTGTGTACATTGTGGTCGGGTTAGTCACTTATTTATTCATGTACCTTTTTACACTAATCGGAAATCAGGAAATCGAGAATAGATTGAGTAGTTTTCCAGTTGTCTTGTCTTCTCTCATTCGTGTGCTTGTCAACCAATCAGGTGTTAGAATAGTTTTCTTCTCTCTCTACCCTACTTTGAACTCACGTGTATTCGCCTCAAGTTTAAGCCGGTCAACCTATCGCGTCAAGGTCTTAATCTAGATTAGACAAGTTATCCTCAGCACCAAAAGTGGGTAGATAGATCAAGGACGTAAGAATGAATCTTGGCAAAGTAACTGAAACTAATTATTATAGTCATATTCACTTGAGAATTTCTCTTGGATCCTTTCAACAGGAACTTCAAATCATACATATGTATAACGTTTATTTAGAGACCTGATAATGAGTAAATGGTAATATTCAGTAAAGTTTAGTTGTGTCTGTCAGTTTGATGCAGGATATTTATTTAACTCTGATTAGCTAATTGTATATACCTGAATTATAGTGTTGATATTCAATGCTTTTTAGCTTTAAACGACAGTGCACTTTACATTAATCTACTAAATCCAAATAACTATTAACTTGTTCACTAGGCAATGAAATTATAAACCACTGAATTTAAGCATTCATGCGTGTGACCAATAGGATCTGGGTTCGAATCTTGCGGGGCGGGATCATGTATGCGCGCTGTCGAGGTGTCTCATACTATTAGGACGAAACAGCCGTTCAGTACTTGCATGTTTTCCATGGTGGTCTATCTTTAATTGACTCATGAATTCAACTATTAAAATCACTAAAATCTCCACAAAACGCCTTTCTGAAATTAATAAACATCAAGTCTTAAGTATTCTCACTATCGATATTAAGTGAAACAATTTATCAAAATGGAACCTGTGTTAAAATGTTAATATTGAGACAATCTAATCAAAATGTACATCTATCAATATAAGAATGATTGATAGTTAGTCATCATCAACAACATAAAAGTTTAAACCTTAACACATTATATACCAATGTTTAATCTATCTTGATACATATTTCAGTGATTAAGATTATTTGAACATCTTCCCTCGTTTGATTTGTCTGTTGCAAACTTTATCAAAGATAATAATAGATTGAAAGAGAAGTATCACATATTCTTAATCACATTAAGTTGTTGATTCCTATGTTCTTTTTCTTCAGAGACATAATTTTGAAGTATTCAGATCCGTACTTTATATTCATGTAATACATCTGTTTTTCATATTGTGTGTGTGTGTAGAAGTTCTCATTTCTCAACATTTGAAACCAATTCACATCAAACATATTCATATCTTGTGTATTTATCACTTATTTTTTTTATTTAAAAAGAATATTATCATAAGGGCGTTTTGTGGAGATTTTTGTAATTTTAATAGTTGTATTCATGAATCAATGGAAGCCAGATCATCATGGAAAAACTGGATGTACTGGATGGCCATTTCGTCCTATTGTGGGACTCCTCAACAGTGCGTATCCATGATCCCGCCCCGCGAGATTTGAACATAAGACTTATCAGTCTCGCACGTGAACGCTTAAGTTTTAGATCACTGAGTCGGCATTAGTTTATTATTGTTTCTATATGGTTTTGATGCGTTACACTTAATAATAATAAATTATAAAATTTTCATTTCATCATTCATTTCTTCTTTTTTCGTTAAAAACTAGTTGATTCGTCTTCATTGTACACATTTTGGTGGATTACTATGTGGACATTTAGTATTATCATTAGTTATATTAACATTTCGATTAATCTCATTTAATGAAAGTAAGTTCAATAATTAATTGTATCAAAGTTGCTATGGTTTTTATTTTTAAATAGTTTGACGATTACATTATCTATTATAATTTTATTTTGTATAGAATACTTTTGAGTAAACTAAAGTTTTATACTAGTTAATGTTTTCCAACAAGTCATATAGGATTCGAACCCATATCACTCAACTTCAGATTGTAAGTTATTACCAATGTTGGAGATGTTACTTCCTCAGAACTCACTTGGTAAACACCTTATTTTCTGTAATTTTATTTTAAGACTGAATTTTCTTGTTTTCGCGCCAAAAGCGTCCATTTTCATCTTCTTGTCGTATTTCCCACTTGGGAGAATCTTAAACTCTTTAGTATGCTATTTTGTAACGCTTCCCATAAACAATTTTATGCTGTATATATACGTTTGATTTGTGCTTGTTTTGATTGCTCATGCTTCTGGCTGCTTGCGAAATATATTTCCCGGTCTCGAACTTGGTTTCTCTTTCTAGTTAGTTGTACCTGGGTACATGAGAATAGCTAGCTTATTGCTCTTTTTTCACAGAGTTTTTGTTCTGTTCTCAGACTAGGTGAACTCGTAATCGCCTCAAATATAGGAACCATAGAACTATTCCAAACACTACTTATCTGTTGATAGAATTCGATCATCATTGAAAGACTAAATAATTTATTTATTTATTTTAACACAGATATTGGTACAAGGATGCACCAAATACATATGCGCCACACAAATCTCACTCGATATGTGTGAGGGCTGTGATACTGCCCGGGTGCCCAAACCGAAGCAGGTGGTTTTCTTAAGTGGCCATACCCCGAGCCTTCGACCTGATGGTCTGATCCACAAGGCAGTGGAGCATCGTAAGGAGATTCAGTGCCATGGTAGCCGGTGACCAACAATTGGTTCATACGCCATTTGTTCCTTCAGGATACTGGAGCCCATGTAAATAAACAATAACATAGATCATTTTTTACTCATCAATCAGTAATTTGATTGTTTTAATTCTCACGACGAAATTTCATGTATATTGTCACTTGCGATCCCTGAATATTTGATACTAGAACACTCACTTTTCGTGTACACAATCTCAATTATTCTATAAAAAAAGAATGGAAACAATAAGGAAGGAATTTTTAATTAGCTAATCGAATCAAACAGGAATTGTTCTTTCGGAAATTTCAATTTGTTCAGTTATATTACATTTGGATAATGCAATAAGAAGACGAAGTTTATCAGAATTATGTGATGATATATTAGCGCAATACATACCAAACAATCTGATCATATATAGTATACTTGTTAAGAACATTTATATATGAAAATTAAAAAGATCAACTAGACAGATTAAAGGTAAGCTGTAACAAAGTATACAAAAACAATGTGATAACCACTCTGGATAATAAATCAGTATTACCAGGGTAGGTTAAGAGTAAGGACAAATTGTTTTTGAATGCATAAAGGGGGTTTCAGTTTATATATATAGCCAAGGCTTCAGTAAACCTTGGTATACATCCTCGAAAGCTTTTGTACATCAAATTCACCAGTTATACTACTGGCATAATTTTTATCATTACACAAAAAAATCATCAATTATCATAAGTATCAGTTGTTCTAGTATCGAAAATTGAATATCGGACCAATTGAGCTACTTATTATTTTTAATGGTTGAGATCATCAGTGAATTGAAACCAGACTACCATTGAAAACATGGAAGCACTGGGTGGCCGTTTCGTCTTATTGTGGGACTCCTCAGCAGTTTGCACTCACTATCTCACACCACGAGATTCGAATCCAGAACCTATCAGTCTTGCGTACGAACGATTAACCTCTAGATCACTGAACCGACATCCAACGGTGTTAAATGTCTAACTTCAACGAATCCACGACATTGAGCGACATATCCACTATTGTCTTCAATGATTTACTATCTCACAACAGACCCTACTGAACTCCACTGGTCACTGCTTTCCAAATTTTACTTTTAAAGTATGTTTTCATCGTTGAAGCTTTTAAAAGTGAAGATCATATTTTTTTATCGGCAGAAAATGATCTTGATCGCTTAATTTGTATTATTTACATTTGAAAATTAATTTGTGTTTGATGATTTGACAGGCAGAAATGAATGAGATTTCAGCTTTCTAACTCATATATTCATACTTGATTAATTATTAAGTATCTTTACTGTATAGTTGTTTTAGTGTCTCAATAAGTATTCATCTAGTATTTAGAAAAGGGTCAGTTCAACCACTGCAATCATTTCAACCAAGTAATGCATAAACCCCCAAAACACACGATATTGTAACATCAATGCTTAACAAGGTTATCATCGAAAAGTCCTACAATAGAATGGAATGATTTTCCAGTGATCTCCAGTTTTTAGTAGTTGTTTGATCAATTTCTGTTATAAGCAATCTTCAAATTGAATAATCTTCTCAAATACCTTTCATCTCAATAAGACTTCTTATTGTCCTAATTTATTTTTGTATTATTTATTTAATTTTTCCCATTCATGTTTCGGATTGTGATTGATCAGTCTGTTACTGACATATATACATCCTGGGAGAATGGCCTTGGTATTACCTTAAGTTACAAGCATTATAAGCAGAAATTGATGGTGGCTAGTAATGGGATGCAGGACACACGTTTCGTCCTATTTTGGGACTCGTCAGCTGGATGTACTTGCATCCTAGAGTTGATATTCACTCCGTCCGACATAGGATGAAACTCGCGTCTTGAATTCCACTATTAGCTATCATCCATCTTTCTTATTGTCCTGTTTTCACAAAGATTTCACATTTTTAATGAAAAACAAACAGTTTTCAATTCTATTGAAATTCACTTTGTTTTTATATATGATATTATTAAATCTTTTTAATAGATTCATTTATTATTATTTTTTTAATAGTTGAGATCCTATGTCAATTGAAGCTAGACTACCATGGCAAACCTAGAAACACTGGACGACCTTTTGATTCTATTATGAGACTCAGCAGTGCGCATCCACTATCCTGCCCCGAGAGATTCGAACTCAGGATCTATTGGTCTCGCGAGGTGGGATCGTGGATGCACACTGCTGAGGATTCTCATATTACGACGAAATGGCTTTCCGGTGCTTCCAGTTTTCCCATGGTAGTCTAGGTTCAGTTGACTTATGATCTCAACTATTAAAATTACCATAATAATATCTACAAAACCTCTTTTCATATTATTATTTTTTTATTGAAAACAAATATGTTTTAGATCATTTCTTGCCAATCTCTCATCATAACTTCTTATCAATAATTCGTGAGATATATTATCATCAAGTTGTTGTTTTACTGCATTTTCTCAGTTTTCAACTAATATCTTTACCGTAAGTTATCAATTATGTAATATATATGTATTTATGTATTTTTGTTTTGAAAGTAGTTACAATGTGTATACTGTTGTGACACCCAATGTCCAATATCTAATATTCATATTCACTCTTCCTATACAGATAATTTGCTCTACTCTAGATTAAAGACAAATTTTGGGGTAGGAAGTTTATTTGATTATTCAAATTACATGTATATGTCTTTTATGCCATTAAACAATCCATCAATGGTTTATATCTCATCCCTTGAAAATGGAATGGGAACTATTGTTATTGTTTAAGCCTGAAGTGTTTTGAGAAATTGTAAAATGGGTTTAATTTTTGGATAGAAACTGAGTTCATTGTATGAAATCATCATTTTAAAATATGTAATTGATTTTTCTATTCTTTATAACCATAGGATTAAGTTTACAATTAAGTGTACATTGTGTAATGACCAGTATCATCTAATATCAAGTTCATTTTAGTGTTAATCAAGTTTTGTTGAACAAGTTGCGATTCACCAGCCATTAGTCTAAGTAACTCGATATCTCATGGAATATATTGAGATGTAAGATAATGATGGCTGAAAGAAGTTGACAGGATATCTTGTTCTACATACTTTTCGTGCTATCTAGCTTTCTTCAACAAAATGTACTTGTAACTTTGAAGGAACTAATTTTGTTTGGCGCATTCATGACCCTACGTTGTCTAGTTTCATAGACAGGGACTTACATCTCAGTGTAAATTACTTTAGTTGTCAATTGAACTGCTTAGTGATAAAGTCTTTGACTGTAAACCGAGGTGATGCGAAACTATGTCCAGTAAAATAGGGTTTCCTCTCGAATCCCTTTAATTACAAAACGTAAGAAATACAATTTTCTCCTGATTGGGATATCACAAAAAATAACAATCATAAGAAAATAATAAGGTGTCACTAGTTGTCCATGAAGATATTCATGTAATTAATTCTGTGGAAAATTACTATTTATAAACTATATATTTCAAGAATATATTCACCTGTCATGTACTTGAATACCAATATAGAGAAAATCACTCGAATGATATACTACTTAATAAATCTTGATACAACAACTTGCCTATCATAATCAATCTTTTATATGAAGCTATAGAAGAAGATTAAATTATTACGAATGACTTAGTGTTCATTTATTATGTAAAGATGGATAGTGGCTAACAGTGGAATCTAGTTTGATGCACGTTTCGTTCTATTTGGGAATCGTCAGCTGGATGAACCTGCATCTCAGAGTTAATGTTTACTCTGGGACTGGAACTCAGTACCGTTCACTTCAAACACCATCTCGTTATCCAATTAGCTACTGAGTCCTGATAATCACTTGCTTGTGGAATGGAGTGAAGTTTAACTCCACTTGATATTGTTTGTTCGAATTTTCCCATTGATGTTTAGGACTACAATTGATCAGTCTTTCATTGGTATATAACCATACTGTGCGTATATTGTCTCGATATAGCCTTAAGGGAATGTTCATTTATTACTTGAGTTATTTCTGTGAAGCTGGTTAAATGGTTTGTTCGTTGAAGTTAGTTATTCTCTGTATCCTCTAAGATAATTTAGCCAATACAAAATACACTTGTTATTGTTTGGCTTGTATCTTCCCATTGAGGTTTAAGACTGCAATTGATCAGTCTGTTATTGGCATATGTAAATACTGTGCGTATGCTGACGAGTCCCAAAGTAGGACGAAACGCGCGTCCTGGATTCCACTGCTAGCCACTATCCATCAATTACAAAATAGTCCAGTTATATTCCTTATTCTGAAACATACAGAATATTGTAAATGTTCAATCATTCTGAACTCAATTTTCATGTTACCCAAAAAGGACGAGTGTACGATTTCATTGTAACAAGCTGGAAAAGAGAACTAAAGAATTTAATTTATTAGTAGTTCCGATGAGAGTTTTGAAGAATGGAAATAGAAGTTTAATAAGTATTTTATTATAAATGTGTATTTTAAAAAGGATAAAACTAATATACTCTATTTGTTGTGGAACAAAATGTTTAGGATCTTGATTCGTATGTTGTTTATTAGATAGATATGCCCTGGTACTACAGTCAAAGGTGGAGAGCGTCAGCTCTCCTCGAAATATTCTAACATGACCATGCGTATACAGCCACTGCCAGCGAAGTCATACTCACTGTCTTTTCGCGACATTACTGTTGTTTACGAAATTGAGAGCACGATAAGTGAATGTTCGGCACTTTAACCGAGTTGGTGGATATGTAGATCCACCTAAGGGAGTTGCAAAACCCTCATTCCAAACCAGTGGTACATATAGGCTGGCTCCAGGATCTTGATGGAACATATGAAGTGTGGACCTATTGTTAGTCACCGACTACCAAGAGACTGCATCTCCTGACATTGCTCCACTGCCTTATGGATTAGACCTTTAGGTCAAAGGCTCGAGGTTTGGCCCCTTAAGCAAACCCTTTGTCTCGATTTAGGCATCTGGATAGTATTCCATCCCTCACCCATCGAGTGATTTCTGTGGCATATATATATTTTTTACGCTTCCTTGCACTGCAGTGCATGCTACTTATGTCGACAGACTTAAGTAGTAGATCACTAATCAAAAGTTGAGTGATTGACTCCAGAAGACTAAAAAGATCGAATTAAAGAAAATAGAAATAGCAATAAATTATGAATGAAAAGAACCAAACAGAATATAAAAGACAATTGATAAAGATTCACAAATGAATTATGTACTCTACTGTCCTTATATTTTGCAAAGATATTTTACAAAGACTGATAGGTCCTGGGTTTGAATCTCGCGGGATGCAGGATCGTGGATGAGCACTTCTGAGGAGTCCCATACTAGGACGAAACGACCGTCCAGTGCTTCCAGGTTTTCCATGGTGGTCTAGCTTCAATTGACTTATGATTTCAATCTTTGAACTTTCTAAAATCTCCACAAACCCCTACTGATAATATCATTGTATATCTTCATTTTTTTTCTTTATTCAATTAGTTTTTCTGAATGGATTGAATTACAACAAATTGGACAACTTGGCTTACGTTTCATTCATACAATCAAAATATTATCATTTATTGATTTTTCTAATAATTTAATATTGATTTTAAATCATTTACCATTATTGATTATATCAATACCATATGGATTTATAATACCATTATTAAATGTTATTATTGATAAAGGATTTTTATTCTTATTATCATTATCATCGTCGTCGCAATTCATTCATCGAAATAATTATTCTATAATGAAACATAATGATAATTTGTACGTACTTGTTTTCTTTTTCTTTGATATGCTTATTAAATTTGAAGAGGTTTTTGTTTATTTTTTTTTTAACCGAGTTATATTGATGATGATGTAATAGGACAATGGAGTACCGTTTGAGAATCATTGACTACGAGAAAGTATTTGATAGCATGGACAGGACAATATTAGTGAGGCTTCTTTGATATTACGACGTACCTGAGACGATAGTTAATATCATACAGAATTGCTATGATGGATTAATTTGCAAAATCATGTATGGAGGACAACTGACGGACTCGTTTGAAGTAAAGACCGGTGTCAGGCAAGGTTGCTTACCCTCATATTTCCTCTTTCATCTGGTGATCGACTAGATCATGAAGACATCATCATGAAAGGGGAAGCATGGTATACAGTGGACAGCTAGAGTGCAACTGGACGATCTAGACTTCGCAGATGATCTGGCTCTTTTATCGCAAACGCAAAAAAAATGAAAGAGAAGACGACCAGTGTAGCAGCAGCCTCAGCAGCAGTAGGTCTCAATATAAACAAAGGGAAAAGCAAGATTCTCCGATACAACACGTCATGCACCAGTCGAATCACACTTGACAGCGAAGATTTTGAAGATGTAAAAACCTTTACTTATCTGGGAAGCATCACTGATGAACACTGCGGATCTGATGCAGATGTGAAGGCGCAGATCGGCAAAGCAAGAGCAGCATATTTACAACTGAGGAACATCTGGAACTCAAAGCAACTGTCAACCAACACCAAGTCAGGATTTCAATACAAATGTCAAGACAGTTCTACTGTATGGGGCAGAAAGCTGAAGAACTACGAAGGCCATCATCCAGAAAATACAGGTGTTTAATAACAGTTGTCTACGCAAAATACTTCAGATCCGTTAACCGGACACTATTAGCAACAACGTACTGTGGGAGAGAACAAACCAGATCCCAGTGGAGGAAGAAATCAGGAAGAAGCGCTGGAAGTGGATAGGACACACATTGAGGAAAGCACCCAACTGCGTCACAAGACAAGCCCTCACATGGAATCCTGAAGGTCAAAGGAAAAGAGGAAGACCAAAGAACACATTACGCTGAGAAATGGAGATATATTTGTGAAGAACCAACAACAATTGTATAGAACTGGAAAGGAAGGCCCAGGACAGAGTGGGTTGGAGAATTCTGATCGGCGGCCTATGGTCCATTGGGAGTAACAGGAGTAAGTAACTGTTTGAGAATATGAAAGTGGTTGTTGTTACTATTCATTTGTTTACTTGTTGTTGAGATATTTACAAAAAGACCTCAAACTTGGGAGCATAACTGCTCAACTCAAAAAGAAACTGAATTGTGGTCGGTTGCATGTGACTTTTTCATAAGTAGTACTTAATGTGTTCATTTCGTATTTTCAAGGTTTTGTTGAAGGCTACGGAAGCTTATGGTAAAAGATAAAATGTGGTATTTTTAAGAGGTAAGGTCTCATCCCTGCAGATGTTGCTTGCCTAAGGAAAACATCGTACTCTCATCACTGTCTATTACAGTCATTGATACGACTTCACCTTTGTGACTTAAAGTTTTTTGCTGTAAATCTTACTGTATTCCAGCCAATGTGACTCGATTGGATCATCACAGTGTGAACACTCGAACAAGTTATAATCAAGGGATAACAGCTAACAATCATAATGGCTAAAAGACAGTTGTTTGCTCTTAGTTTGAAAGTTTTTTAGTAGTGTCGATTCAAAATACAAATTTTATGACGAATACAAAAGAAATGGCTTATATTTTGTTACATTCAGTAGTCGTCCATAGTATGATATTATTAACTGTCCAACTGGTATCGATGGTGATAGAAAAAAAAATCGTCTCTAAGTCAAACAATTAAGTCGACAAAATTTATACCAAGTTCGATTTCTAACCTACTTTATATAGATTAGTTAAGATGAGGATGAATTTCATATTTTTGTATCTATGAAAAAGAATCATAAAATATATTAATTCAAATAAAACTGTAACCTTTCTTGATAGAAATAACAGTTAAATCTTTGTGTTCAGTTCAGAAGAAGAGAGCAGAGTAGCTCAAAGCAAATATGTGATCAGCAACTTGGATGACTCTGTCGTTGTCCCGCATTATATGAGCATTCCATGTACCTAAATTAATAGTTGCTCTGTTTGTTAAAAGGGGCATCAGCCTCGTGACTTCCGAAGGAACTTGGCTTTCACCTTGAGGCGTCATAACTTTTCTAATTAAAGACCTTCTAACTCCTAGGACAGAAATTAAATGGTTTGAATTATTTTTTGTGGTAAACATTTTTTTAACGAGTTAGTTTTCTACGGGATGCCCAACCCTCCTCTTTTATCCGAGCTCGGGACCGGCAATAGCCCCAAAGGGGCTTAAGGCAGAGTTGAATATGTTATCAGAATGTATTCATTGCATAGGATGGTCTATAATTTAATTGAGGTGAACGTACACAGCTGATCGCCTAGTGTCATGTGTATTATTTTTATAACCACATTTTAAATGATATTCGAATCCATATAATCTATTTTCGCAGAGTAAAATGTTATCATCAAATTGTTTGGGCTGATTACTAATGAGTATCAAATAGACAGAAACCTGGGTCAAAAATAGTTTCTTGTCGATTATCTCCAACTGGAGTAATATCTTAATCCATAGCACAGTAACAAAAATTTAGCGCATATGGTACAGACACTGACATTCAACTCTCTATACTTGCTAAGTTTTGCTTCATGCACATTAGTATATTGATATTTGTTATAATATAACTGACTACTTTTTGTATTGCTAACTCGATCAGTTTACCACCCTCTTTCTCTCTCTATTCCCCTTGCTCCATGTTCCCCAATTCCCAATTTGCAAACATCTATTTATTTTCAGTATTTCATCTTCTACATGGATTATGAATATTTCCACATTGTTTATTCTATCTATTGCTTGGTTATTAACTGAATCATTAGCTGTTCTCTTACTCAGCTTATTATTATTGATCAATGTAAGTAATAATACTTATGATTGTATTTACTGTGTTATTATTATTATTATCATTGTCATTATTCCAAAACTTTGTTTATTTAATTATTCATTTTAATTATCTATTGACTTGTTCTGTGTTCATTCAACCAAGAATAAAACAGTTCTGATCCAACCAATAATGATTTTATCAATATAGGGGTTGTGGAGATTGTTAAGTTTTGATTGACATCATGAACAGATTGATCTTAGACCACCATCGAAAACCTAGAAGTACTGTGGGACTCCTGAGCAGTGCGCATCCACGATCTCGCTCGCGGGATTCGAACCCAGGGCCTTCAGTCTTTTGTCTGATGATGATCACGAATTAGTTGGAATACAATTTAGAAGTTATTTTAATCTCGAATTCATTAATTCAATATTGTGTTATTCATCTTATAACTGAAGTAATGTAAATATAATTTGTAATCAATAGAGTTTAAACATGTTAACAGTGTGAAATATTCATCACCAAATAGTATCAAATAATCTTTCAGATGGGAAATCTTTATACTACTGAAATCTAAATCAGTAGTGTGATGATAAAGATGAATTAATTTAACCCTACTGGTACTCAGATATTAACATTCTAAGTATGTTGTGCAATAAAAAAAGTGTTGAACTATATAGATTCCTAAAAAACACTTGAATTATTAGGTATCATTGAGTAATTGTCGAATAAATAATTCATTATCTTAAACTGTAATATATAAATCTAAACTTTGTCAAATAGATTCACTTGGCGTTGTTTTACTTGTATCTTCCCATTGTTATTTAGGGCTGTAATTAATCCGTCTCATGTTTGCATATGTGCATCCTGTGCGGATTGCCTCAATATGACCTCAAGTCACAAGATTTTTAAGCAAAGATAGATAATGGCTAGCAGTGGAATCTAGTTTGACGCGCATTTCGTCCTATTTGGGACTCGTCAGCTGGATGCACCTGCATCCCTGAGTTGTTGTACAGTTCGGGACTCGAACCCAATACCGTTCACTTCAAACGCCATCGCGTTATCCACTTCGTTACTGAGTCGCGATAGCCACCTGCTTGTGCAATGTGATGCAGGTACATCTAGATGACGAGTCCCAAATAGAACGGAACGTGCATCAAACTAGATTCCACTGTTAGCCACTATCCATCTTTGTTAAATAGGTTGTATATAAAAACAAAATTATCACGTTGAGAATATGAATCCGCATTTCTGAAGAGTCCTATACTAATATGAAACGGCCAGTCGGCATCCAATCCACGAAATTGCGCCACCATCCAACATTGTCTTCAGTGATTTGTTATCTCAGAACAGACCTGGTTAAACTCCAGTGATCACATCTTCCTACTTGAAACTCGAGGAAATACCTGTTAAAGTCAATCACTAATGAATATATGATGATTATAATGAAAGTGAGGAGGGTTTTCTGGATCGTGGATGCACAGTGTTAAAGAGTCCTATACTATTTTTATTTATCAAATTTTAATGAATTATTTTCATTTATTTATTTTTCTCTCGGTTTTTCTTTCTTTTCTATTTTAGAATATTTTATTTGATCAACAAAATTATATTAAGAATATACAAAAATCATTATGTAATCATAATAATAATAATAATCCATTGATTCAATTAATCAATAATAATAATAATAATCAATATCAAATAATAAAATATCAATTAAAATTATATTATTTAATTAAATGTCGTTTATTTATTTTATTATTGATTATTGATTTATTGATGTTAAATGATTGGATATTATTTATTGAAAGAATTCAATTATTGGATTATTATAAGTGAGTTAAACAATTTAATGTGTATATGTGTGTGTGTGTGTGGGTGTATGTGTGTTGTTACTATAGGGGATCTAGAGATGAGTTAAAAAAAAAACAACAACAGATGATCATAGTTATATTGATTATTTGAGTAAATGGAATATACCCATTTTGATGAAGTTTTTGATTCTCTGAGCTAGATGGTTTAGTCGTGAAGTTTTCATTGTTCATCTTAACCATATCATCAGCACAAACTTCAGGTAGAAGTGAAGTATTCGAAAACCAATCAAAAATCATCTACAAAATAAATTGTGCCAACTGCAAAAAACACTACATCGGAAAAATCGGACGCCCCCTTCACCTTCGCCTACACGAACATCAATTAGCAGTCAAATCCCATGATATTTCATCACTTATATCAATACACGTGGACAACTGTGGACACTCATTCGATTGGAAAAATGTGGAAATCTGGGATAGAGGAAATTCCAAAAACACCAGGGAATTTTTAGAAGCCTGGAACTCAGGTCAATCACCAATCAACAAGTATATTGAAATCAATCCAATTTACCAACCAATCAGGAAAATCATGTACAAATATAGGAACAAAAATCAAACCAATGGGAGACACAACCAAAATAAAGGAGTAAACAATGACAAATTCAAGGTTAATAAAGACCAATCAACGTTGAGGTGTACAGAAAAAGCTGTGAAACACATATAGAGAAATTTGAACACTTCACTTCTATCTGAAGTTTGTACTGATGGTGTCGTTCAGAAGAACGATGAAAGCTCCACGACCAAACCGTTCAGCTCAGAGAACAAAATCCCATCAAAATCACCCACCTCAGTTACAAACCTTCTCCACCATCTCAATACACCCATTAAGATATTAAGTAAAAATGATTAGTTCAGAGAAGTTATCCCCTTTTTGCCTAATTCATTTTCAATGTTGTACAATTGCAAATATAGACATATACTTATTTTTTTACAGGATGATAAGAATACTGATAATATACTTCTGTTACATATGGTGATAGTGACAGGTTAAATAAACAAAGATATTGAAAAAAACCTTATGAAACAAGGAAAGTTTAATAATCATTTGATTGTTGATAACTTAAGTCTTCATCAAAAGATAGATAGGGAAACTTATCATAAGATGGTTGTTAAAGGAAGTCAACAGGAAACCTTGGATTCGTGCTACTGAGAACTCATCATAAGAGTTTACCTGTAATCAGGTGGGAACTGAAGCTCCTTGACGAATGCGATCCCTTGCCACTCAAATTCATAGTCAGAGAAGTTACCATCTGACTATCGATTGTGAGTACATCTGAGTCCATCAGCGAGCATGAGTTCCCTTAATTACAGGTACGTTTTGCTGACGAGTGCCAAGTAGCACGAAACACGGGTCCAGGGTTTCGACTACTTCCAACTACCATTCTATCTCAACATAGTGCACGCAATGTCGAGTCACCTAGACTAGTGGTCGCATTGCAACATAGTCGACAGCATTCGATCTGCACTGAGAAGGACTTGACATACATGACATTGATCACCGCCTAGTGATCAATCAATTGTGAGGGAAATTATGATTGGAAAAGGATGGCTCAGCATAATAAGATAATGAACCGATTGATGTCAGACCACCACCATGATCTCAATGAAAAACGTAATAATCTCCACAACCCCCATACTAATAATGAGATAAAGCGTAGAAATTGAGATTAAATGTAATCACAATGATCTTGGAAACAAAATAAACCAATCGGGGTTAGAAGATATAAGGGGAAGATGGAAAGTGAAGCAGATGGCTGTTAAGAACGAAGAGTGTGAAGAAAGAGAGAAAAAATGTTATAAGACATTAAGACCATAGTAGAAGAAGAGATTGTTCCAGTCTCTTTTTTACACACAATTCTGGTTTTTCCAGATATATGTCTAGTGCTTCGGCAATGCATAGAAGATACAGTCTAATTGTCCTAGGAAGACTTCTACTTACTTTGTAGATGACTTTGAATGCAGAATCTGTCTTGATTGAGTAACTTGAGTTTACTAAGTGTTGAATTATTGAACTTCTTATTGAACCATTGCGATTGTACATCTCTGAAACTGAATTCACCAAGAAGAGAACTCTTCTCTGAACTTATCTTTTGTGTGTGTATATTATAGTAATTTTTAATAGTTAAGATTATTCGAAACAATTCATGAAGGTAAATTATTATGAAAAACCTAGAAGTACTGAATAACTGTTTCATTGTTGTATTCGACTCCTTAGTAGTGCACGTATGCATGTACGAAGTTCCAAGTTGTTGCTGATTCATTGACTGACTGACTGATTGATTGATTGATTTAAATGGATAGAAATTCTTTTTAAACTTCATTTCCAGTATTGATTTTCCATCTGTTCTTTTTTTTTTCTTTTTCATTATTTTATTTTAGTATTTCTAGTTACTTTTTACATTATTCATCTATTTTACAATTTCATCATATTATATCCAGTACTTTCATTCTATTATGTACATCAATATGGTTATTACAATTTGGTATAGTTCATATTATTCAATCGTCATCTTCCTCCTCCTCGTGCTCCTCATCATCATCTTCCTCCTCCCCCTCATCATCACAATCATCATCTTTATTGTTGTTCTATGGTTGTCATAGTAACAACCACTTTAATAATAATAATTTTCCATTATATAAATTTTAAGATTTTGTTGTCAATTCATTATTATTTGTTTATTATTTAATTTATTTAATTTAGCTAGATCATTTCATAATATAATACAATTTACTATATTTAGCCTTGAATGTATTAGTTTAATGTTATGGTTTTCATGTAAATCTTACACTATGAATTATGATTATTTGAAGAAAATAAAAAAAAATTAGAATTTGATTTCTTTTCTCTTTTTTTCTCTCTTTTTTTTTAAAATATCAATAATAACAAAAAAAAAGTGATTTGTTGTTAAGCACCGATTAATTTTCAATGGAATCTCTTATTGATTTGAATGAGTACGCGGTACTGTCGAAAAGTTTTTTTTTTTACCTATTTACTTACGCTTGTTACCAAGTCAAATGCCTTTGTACAACTGAGAATGTAGAGAATCAGCTCTCCCCTCTACAAATACTCTCATATGGCTACATGCATAAAATCACTGACAGAGAAGTCCTACTCATTGTATTCTCACGGCGGCGGCGTTGTTTACGAAATTGAGAGGATAAAAAGCGAATGTCCAGAGCTTTAACTGGATTGGTGGATATACAGAATCCATCTAGGGGAGTTGGGAAACCTTCATTTCAAACCAATAGTGTATATGGGTTCCAGTATCCTGAAGGAACAAATAGCGTATGAATCAATTATTGGTTACTGGCTACCATGGGGCTGGATCTCCTCACGTTGCTCCACTGCCTTGTGGATTAGACCTTTAGGTCAAAACTCGACGTGTGGCCTCTTAAGAAAACTAACTGCTACGTTTTGGGCACCAGAGAATGTGAAGTTAGTATTCTGACGTTAGATGCAGAGTACTAGGTAATGATGGGAAATAGACTGACAAGGTAATTGAGAAAATAGGGACACGTTTTACATGTGCCCATCCACAGAAAACCTCTACGGGTAATGTTGTTTGATATAGACGTAGGTTGGAAGAAATTCACGGCGCCCAATTCATAGCATCGTATCAGTCCATTAACTCACTGACAATTGAGCTGAACCATGTTAACAGTGTAGATTGCCTATTTAAGGTTTTCATGGTCATCGCAATCAGTGGTTATAGAGACTTTGATTGACATGATACGAAATATTTCTCAATGACCAAGATGCATTCACTATTTATCTTCCTTTACATTCTGAGTTCCTAGATTCCTTATCAATTCTTTCACTCCATTAATCAATATTTTGTTCTCGAATCGTATCTTGAGTGACTTATCTTTTCTCTAACGATTAATCTTTTTGCCACCTAATGCTGGTAATCAGGTACAGCAAAATGAACCGATATCAAATGTGTCAAGTTCTACATTACGTTTGAATGATTAAAGAAAACAGCTTCTCCAAGTAGATTAAGCACTTCAACTAAGGCTTTAAAGACTCTAAAGATGAACAGATGTAGACGAGTAACATAATCAAAGGAATAATGACCATATAGAGAAATGACATAAATATGAACTGAAGAATTATATAAAGCACTTGATTTCCAGGAATTTATTAAACAATACGAATGGAGATGGGATATTTTGAACAACCTACAATTAAACTCCACAACTTTAGTCCATAAATCCAATGATCAAACTATATACGTCTATATCAAGAGATCAATTCAAACTTGAATAAAAAAAACGTGAGGATATATAGTTTTCTAAGAAATAAAATATCTTAAGATAAAGCGATTTTAACAGTTGAGATCATGAGTAAATCGAAGCTAGACCATCATGGAAAACCTAGAAGCACTGGATGGCCGCTTCGTCCTAGTATGGGACTCCTCAGCAGTGCATGCTCATGACCTCGTATCTCAGGATCCTAACCCAGGACCTATCGGTCTCGCGCTTGAATCCCTAACCTCTAGACCTTCAGTGGAGTTCAACCAGGTCTGTTGTGAGATAGTAATTCACTTAAGACAATAGTGGATGGTGGCGCAATTTCGTGAATTCGTTGAAGTTAGACATTAACATCGTTGGATACCGGCTTAGTGGGTTAGAGGTTAAGCGTTCTCACGCGATACTGACGGGTCCTGAGTACGGATCTCGCGAGGCGGTATCGTGAATGCTCACTGTTGACGAGTCCGATACTAGGATGAAACGGCCATCCAGTGCTTCCAGGTTGTCCATGGTGATCTAGCTTCCATTTACTCATGATCTCAACTCTTAGAATTACAATAATATCCATAAAACCTTTTTCTGTAATACGATTTGGGCGAGACTGATTTATAGACGACCTTTGAACGGATCTTAAGCCACCTTGACAAATATTAGCCAATCAGCACACAGTCAGTATAGAGTAAAAAAATATCATACAAAACCAATGAAATAAAGTGGATACACTTCTTATACGTGGTTCAAAAACTTTTCAAGGTTATAAAGAGGTTCAGAGGTTCTAAAGTCGTAATGCATGCAGTAGAGGAAATCGTCCATACGGCTACAAAATAGTCGGCCTCTGGAGCCATGATAAAGTCTCGAGAACTTTTTCAGCCTCGACGACATAGCTTCAATATTGTTTGTGTGCACTTCGGTCGTTGAGTACACAAGATGCTAAATGTGGATAACGACATGATATAACCAAGCCTATGTAGGAGTCTGTACACTCGCCAAACATCCGTATATATTGTAGTACCTGGCTGCAGCCAATGTTACTGGTACTTTTATTATCCAGTTCGCAATAACTGTCGTAATTTGTCTTAGTTAGGAATCATCACAAACTGACATCAGCTATAATGGCAGAAATTTATTTAGCCAAATGGATGGAAGGCTTTTGCGCCAAAATCCGAGATCTGTTATCTTATACCTGATTCGTCCACAAATCATAGTCTTGCCGTTTTATTTGTTATATCCGCTCAATTATCACGTTTTATAGAAAATTCCCTGTGAACCGATCGTATGTTAGCATGAAGCACTGAAGTTGGCGCCGTAACCTTGAAATCTGTAAAACGCTCGGATTGGTTCGTCCATAAATTAGAGTCTCACCGCGATTTGTTTATATGTTGAATTAATATAAACTAAACTACCATTTAAAAAAAAACTAACTAAAAATCACTACACAGTTATTTCACCTCAATATAGAATTCATCACCAACATTATTTATATCCATGATCCCGAAAGTGACAAACAAATAACCTTCAATCTTAAACGTCATTTAATTAGATGTTAAGAGTCACCAATCAACAACAGTAACAAAACTTCTATATATATGTAATTCTATCGATAACTCTTCATCATTATATATTTACTTAAACTTGTTACTCTTCGTGGAGGAGCATAGGCCACCCACCAGCAATCTCTATCCAACCCTGTCCTGGGCAATTCTTTCGAGCTCATTATATTACTTACTTTACTTACGCCTGTTACTCCTAATGGAGCATAGGCCGCCGACCAGCATTCTCCAACCCACTCTGTCCTCGGCCTTCTTTTCTAGTTCCATCCAATTCTTGTTCATTTTTTTCATGTCTATTTCCATTTCTTAGCGTAATGTGTTCTTTGGTCTTCCTCTTTTCCTTTGACCTTCAGGATTCCATGTGAGGGCTTGTCTTGTGACGCAGTTGGGTGCTTTCCTCAATGTGTGTCCTATCCACTTTCAGCGCTTCTTCCTGATTTCTTCCTCCACTGGGATCTGGTTTGTTCTCTCCCACAGTACGTTGTTGCTAATAGTGTCCGGTTAACGGATCTGAAGTATTTTGCGTAGACAACTGTTATTAAACACCTGTATTTTCTGGATGATGGCTTTCGTAGTTCTTCAGGTTTCTGCCCCATACAGTAGAACTGTCTTGACATTTGTATTGGAAATCCTGACTTTGGTGTTGGTTGACAGTTGCTTTGAGTTCCAGATGTTCCTCAGTTGTAAATATGCTGCTCTTGCTTTGCCGATCTGCGCCTTCACATCTGCATCAGATCCGCAGTGTTCATCAGTGATGCTGCCCAAATAAGTAAAGGTTTTTACATCTTCCAAATCTTCCCCGTCAATTGTGATTCGATTGGTGCATTCTGTGTTGTATCGGAGAATCTTGCTTTTCTTCTTATATATGTTGAGACCTACTGCTGCTGAGGCTGCTGCCACACTGTTCATCTTCTCCTGCACCTGTTGTTGCGTTTGGGATAGAAGGGCCAGAGTTGTCATAGTGACAATAAACTAAGTAAAAACACATAGAAACTTGATCATCATATAAACAAGAAACTGATATATTTTTTCTACAATTATCAATAATGATATTTTCATATAGAATTACTTAAATAATAATAGTACGAACGATAAAAGAAGAAAAGAAACAATAAAAGAAAAACGAAATAAAAAAAGAAGAAATTGTCAATCCAACGACAACAATAACAACAACAGCAACAAAACTAATAATAATGATAATAATAAAATAAAATAAGATCGATTAAGATCAAACAAACGAACATTTTATCTAGCCAAATAGCTTACTTGTTCTGACTTTGATCAAACCAAGACTCTGTATTCGACAATCTAGAGATTAGCTTAAAGTTGAATCTGTAGGAAATTGCTTCCTACAAAGTTTTGAACAGTAAATTCAATATACCCACTGAAATGACTTCCATTAAATACTACGAATCCGATGGCATTCCAGAGTTATCACTCCATCATTTAGGAGTTTATAAAGAGGATCAACATGAAAAGAACGAACTTCAAAACAATAGCATGATAGAACTAGAGTTAGCTAGGTTACGCATAACCCATTTAGAAAAGGAAATTGAACTAGAAAAGTTACACCTCCGGAAGTGTGAAAGTATAAGCAACAGTGAGAATACAATATTAAAAAATCTGTATTTACCAAAAAGAGAAGTCTTAAGATTCGATGGTACACCGACAACTCATTGGAATTTCATTAGAAATTTCGAAGAATGCATTGGGAGTGAGAATGTTGGATTTAGAGCTAAGCTAAATTACTTGATTCAATATTGTGACGGAGAATCGAAAGCCGCTATCCTTCATTGTACAATACTAGAACCATAGATAGGTTACCATCAGGCCCTAAAGCTTTTAGAGGAAACGTTTGGCCAAAAACACGTTGTAGCACGCACGTTTATTGACAACTTGTTAAACTTTCCCAATATAAGGAGGAATCAACCAGATGGGTTGAGAAGACTATCTCGAGAAATGCAAGCATGTGGTTTGACTCTTGAACAGATGAATTACGTCTCTGATTTGAACTCTTCTAGAACTATTGAAACTGTGGTTCTGAAATTGCCAACACACATTCAACAAGAGTGGCTAAAGGTAGCTTATAAGATTATTAGAGGCCGAGA